CCCCCGCCTGCGGCTTGGCGCTGGCAGAAGGGACCCGATGACTGGGGAAGGCACAGCGGCCGGATCCAGGCCATGGGACACGGAGCGGGCCTTGCAGGGAGCAGCTGGGTTCAGCCCATTGGTTATCGCAGCCCTTAACCACAGCCAGGTTTGGGCTCCCCATTGCAACCAGGGTCGGGGTACAGCATCACAACTGAGATTGGGGTCCCCGTTGTGGGGGAGGTCCCTGGTCCCCATCACCCCAGCAGCCCCAAGAAGGCACCGGCACCCAGGGTTCACGCCTGCCGCCAGCTGCAGGGTGACCCCCCCCACCAGCTGGGGCCATGCCCACCCCCGGCGGGGTGTCCCCCAGATAACCTGCACTCCCATGTTCCTGCCGGGGACATCCAAAGCCCGATTCCCCTCAGCTGGCACCCAAAGCCCGAGCGCTCCCTTGTCAAGGCAAGGAGGGGACAAAGCTCCCTGTTGGGGTGCTTGGGGAGTCACCTCAAGCCCCACGGTCATGCCCATGTCACCACCAGCAATAACCCCCGTGGGACCGTGCTGGGGAAACACCACCGCGAGCTCCCGGCTCCCCCCGAGCCCCGGCAGAGCAGCATCAGTCCTGGGAATAAACTTCCTTTCAAAAGCTGTTGGGCAAACATCAATGCTATTTTTTTTCTCTTCTGACCTTTTTCCCTTTTTTTTTTTTTTTTCCAGAAGGGGAAGGTCTGCAGAAGGTGGAAAGTAATCAGGTTTTGGACCTGGGATAAAAAATTGCTGGAGTAGGTTGGGCTGACTCCTTATAATTAATAGTGTGCCTCGTAATAGGATTCTCCAGCCTTTGGTGCTCTCTGGAAACACCTTTTTACATAAGATATTGCCCACGATGGAGCGGCAGAGTTTTGATTTATGGGGTTTTGGCCTCCAAGAAGCATCTGGAGGGGCTGGCCTGGCCGGTGGGATGTACTGGGGGAGAGAGGAAAAGGGCCGAAGGCAGGGAGGGTGTTTCTGGGGGGTTGGCAGCCGGGTCCCGGAGCAGGCGCCTGGCCAGGGGAAAGGGCTTCGTGGGGGCTGCCTATGAGACGGGGTCTGAGCTGGTCCTGGGGCTGAGCCCCCTCTGCTCCGAAGGGGAGGAGGAAGAGGAGGCTGAGAAGGGTTTTGGGGGCGGGAAAGGGCTTGTCTCCCTGCCCAACGTCACCAGGTGATGCTTGGGGCATGGGCTCAGCCGGGGAACCGAGGAGCAGTCAGGGCTGGGGAGCCCCAGTGGGAGCAAGACCCCACATCACCCTGGGATGGGAGGAAGGAGGGGGGAGAAGTGTGGTTGAGGGGGACACGAAAAACCCCGGGAGGTGCAATAGCAAAGGGCTAAAGCAAACGCAGTACTGGAGAGCGGGAACGGGGGAGAGCAGGAAAGTCTGGAGGAAAGGGGGGAATGGGAAAAAGAGTGGGATGGGGGAAAAAGGGGGATCACGGGGGCTCCGGGCTGTGGG